ACCCAAACCAAGCTTCCAGCACCAGAGACGGACGCCGGAAGAACAGGGGAAAAAGGCGAGGTCGAATCCCCGGCGAAAAGGAACCCCCTCCCCCGTGCGACGCTACTTTCGTAACTTAAAATATTTTTGCACAACTTTATTTTGACGATGTATTAGCCCGTGATCCGTTTATATTAATATAAATAATATTTTAACGTATATTTTATTTTTTAATACAAAAAACTAATAATTTTACATATTTTAGTTCATTATAATACTTAAATATTATTTTATTAAAAAAAATTATTGTTAATTCAATATTATTTATACATTTATAAAAATAATATTCCTATTTTTATATAATGATAAATATTTAATGTATATTACTATTATTTATTGATGTGATTAATTTAAAAATATATAAGTAAATCTAATGTTTTTTAGGATTGTGATTGATCTCGATATTTTAGTTAAAAGTATATGATATATATGTACAACTATATGATATGCATATCTTGAAATACAAAAGAAATTTTATGTGAATTGTTACCTTAATAAATCAGCCGCAATTACCTAAATTATATCTTTAAAACATACCATAAAATGTTTAAATAGTTTTCAGAATTAGTAAACAATATTTTTTTGCGGGAAATAGTTAATGTTTAAAAAATAATCAAACCTTTATATATGTATATATATATAGATTTCCATTCCAACGGTTTTGCTATGAAGCCAACAGTTGGCTTTATAGTGGATTCAACCTTCTATATATAATAAATAAACTTACATATTATCTGTGTTGATATCATTTTCAGTAAGCCAAATTAAGTGACGTTAATCCGCCGATTGGGGTCAGTATGAAGATAATTAAAATTTATACAAGTACGTGGCACTCCTACCGACTTCAAGATGACTGCACGATGAAGGATTCAACAAGAACCGACATCTCCATTATTTGACCGATATCTCATGTCGGTCAACACATGTCGGTCACCACATGTCGGATACAACATATCGGTTATAACTGGATGAACCGATATCTATAGCATGCCACCTCAACATTGTAAGGCGGCGACAACTCGGCATAAGTCATCATTACGTTTGTCCAAGTGGCGAGCCATCAAGAGAAGTAGCTAAGAACCGCCTTTGACCTTTCAAATGTGATGATTACTGTACGGATAAATATGGTACATAAATATAAAAGGAGAAAAACAATTCTCCAGTAAGGGACACACGTACAATAATAATATTCACAGAAAAATTCCATCTCCTTTTACAATATGCAAGTTCTTATCGTTGAATATTGAGTTTTACTTCCAATGTACTTCAATTAGACCGTTGTTAATTCCCGTTTGACAACAGTTTGGCGCTAGAGGAAGGGCCACTTATGTTTTGAAGTTAACTTTCGCCTGTAAGCCACTTTCGTACTCGGAGATTACTATGTCGCAGTCTGGTCGAGATCATGTACCTCACCCTGGCCAGAGCCAATCGACTAACCATTCTCCACGACGTACAACACCGCCTCCTCCGGTCACGAATGTCACGAACTTTCTTCAAAATCCGGAGTTTATCCAAGGTCTGACTTCATTAATAGCTCGAGCCA